CCCCCAGACAACAGGTATGTCACCCAGGTGATGCTTCTTAGAGGATGCAAACCAACCAATTCTCCTCCTCCCAGGACTGTCCGGGGCTCAGAGCTGCCTGTTTTGGAGCGAATTTGCCAGGAACTTGCAGCTGCTGCTCAGCCGTTCCGGAGGCTAGAGGCCTCCCGGGATCAGCTTCGCCGGCTCTTCAAGGTGGGTTGGAAATGCAGTTTTAGGAGGACGATCAGAGGCATGAGGGAAGAGGTGGCTCTCTCCCAGGACATCTTTGGGGAGATAAAGACTTGTCTTCACTTGTCCCTTCTTCCAGGATAACCCCTTTAAGCTTCGTCTGATTGAGGACAAAGTGACAGGTCCAACAGCAACAGTGTATGGGTGAGAGTTGTCAAGATGGAGGGAAATGGGGAGGTGGGGATGCACTTACTGACAAAGGCCAGAAATGGGACAAGGGAAAGAAGACAGAAGCTTATCTGTTGTTCCAGAAAAAGAAATGGGAGCAGGAATTGATTTTTCTCTCCCATTGCTCTCTCTGTAGAACAGTTTTCTCTACTTCCTCTCTCTGTCAGCTAAAGGCCATGAGAGGGAGAAAACTAAAAGCTCAAGTATCTGGAAACCACTAACTGGCCCCTTCTCTCTCCCAGGTGTGGCATGTTGGTTGATCTTTGCCGGGGCCCCCACCTTCGGCATACTGGACAGATTGGAGGACTGAAGCTGCTCACGGTCAGTTGTGATTACAGGGTTAGGTTTAGACTCCTGCTTTCACTGGGGTGGGCCCGGGAATGGGAAGATAATTCTCTCAGCTCCTCTGTAGCTAAGCAGGGAATCCAGAAGGAGAGGATACTTAGGCCCTGCCTTCTGGAAACTTTGAGTCTGATGGCAGTGCCCAGAAGCCAACTCAAATTCCATAGTTGGATATAAATGCTAAAGGAGGTGGAGGGAGAGGGCATGGACAGGCTAGACAAGGTCATGTAGGGAAGTCTGTGAATAGAGGGTGTGGAATACCATTTGACAGGCACTCTAAGTCAAGGGCATGTCTTTTATGAAAATACTGTTTCTGGGCAAAGTGAGTTATTAGATGGTATGGGAGCAGAGAGTGAGGGGAAAGGCAGACATGTAGAACAAAAGGCTCTGGATTGAAAACAGCCATCTGTGCTTCGTCCTCGCTCTGCCATTCATGAAGTGTGGCCTTGGATAAATCTTACCCGTTTTCCCCATCTATTAAATGAGGCTGTTAATTCCTACCAGTAAATCCACATCTAGAGACAGAACCAACTAATGCAGGAGAAAGTGTTTGAGGGAAAGTTAAAAGTGCTATAAAATGCAAGCTGTTTCTTTTTTTTCTTTTTAAAATTATTTATTTTTCTTGTGTATTTCTTTTGTTTGTTCAAAATATTACAGATGTCCCCTTTTTTCCCCATTGACCCCTTCCACTCTATACCCACCCCCCTCCCCAGGCCTTCACCACACTATTGTCTGTGTCCATGGGCTATGCATATATGCATATAAATTCTTTGGTTAATCTTTCCCCACCCACCCCCACCTTCCCTCTGAGATTCATCAGTCTGATCCATGTCTCCATGTCACGGAATCTATTTTGAGCAGGCTGTTTCTTGTTAGTACTATTGTTCAAGGAAAGAGCAAGCAGAGTCATTTGATTTCATGTGGCCAGGGATGGGAAACAATGTGGGAGATTGAGTTTTCTTGCAGCTGTATGGAAGATTGATAAGGGGATGGATAGGATGACATTTGACCAGATCTTCAGGTTAATCAATCCCCTGAGTCGTCATCGATTAGAAGGGGAAGGAAATAAAGACAGGGGTACTGGCAGGGCAGTAGTAGTGAGAATCCTCAGGATAAGGTTAGGCCTGAGCAGGACCTATGTAGAAATCAAGACTCAGGCACCTCCAAGGCTATAAACATCACAAGGCGTTGTCTGGAGGATCAGCCAGTGTTGATGGTGGGAAAAGTAGTGCGTACCTGTGATGCTTACACTGAGAGTATCATTTGAGGTTTGCAAGAGAGGTTGAGAGGCTTCAGCCTTCTCCATCTTTTTTTTTTTTTTAATTTATTCTTTTTAATCCTTACCTGAGGGTATTTTTTCCATTGCTTTTCTTTCAGAGAGAGTGGAAAGGGGAGTGAGGGAGAGAAACATCAATGTGAGAGANCCATCTGTGCTTCGTCCTCGCTCTGCCATTCATGAAGTGTGGCCTTGGATAAATCTTACCCGTTTTCCCCATCTATTAAATGAGGCTGTTAATTCCTACCAGTAAATCCACATCTAGAGACAGAACCAACTAATGCAGGAGAAAGTGTTTGAGGGAAAGTTAAAAGTGCTATAAAATGCAAGCTGTTTCTTTTTTTTCTTTTTAAAATTATTTATTTTTCTTGTGTATTTCTTTTGTTTGTTCAAAATATTACAGATGTCCCCTTTTTTCCCCATTGACCCCTTCCACTCTATACCCACCCCCCTCCCCAGGCCTTCACCACACTATTGTCTGTGTCCATGGGCTATGCATATATGCATATAAATTCTTTGGTTAATCTTTCCCCACCCACCCCCACCTTCCCTCTGAGATTCATCAGTCTGATCCATGTCTCCATGTCACGGAATCTATTTTGAGCAGGCTGTTTCTTGTTAGTACTATTGTTCAAGGAAAGAGCAAGCAGAGTCATTTGATTTCATGTGGCCAGGGATGGGAAACAATGTGGGAGATTGAGTTTTCTTGCAGCTGTATGGAAGATTGATAAGGGGATGGATAGGATGACATTTGACCAGATCTTCAGGTTAATCAATCCCCTGAGTCGTCATCGATTAGAAGGGGAAGGAAATAAAGACAGGGGTACTGGCAGGGCAGTAGTAGTGAGAATCCTCAGGATAAGGTTAGGCCTGAGCAGGACCTATGTAGAAATCAAGACTCAGGCACCTCCAAGGCTATAAACATCACAAGGCGTTGTCTGGAGGATCAGCCAGTGTTGATGGTGGGAAAAGTAGTGCGTACCTGTGATGCTTACACTGAGAGTATCATTTGAGGTTTGCAAGAGAGGTTGAGAGGCTTCAGCCTTCTCCATCTTTTTTTTTTTTTTAATTTATTCTTTTTAATCCTTACCTGAGGGTATTTTTTCCATTGCTTTTCTTTCAGAGAGAGTGGAAAGGGGAGTGAGGGAGAGAAACATCAATGTGAGAGAGACACATCAATTGGTTGCCTCTGGCTCACTCACCAACTGGGGCCAGGAATTGAGCCTGCAACCAAGGTACATGCCCTTGGCTGGAATCAAACCCGGGACCCTTCAGTCCGGGGGCCTACACTCTATAACCACTGAGCCAAACTGGCTAGGGCTCTTTTTTGTGTGTGTGTGTGGTTTTTTTTTTTAATATGTCTTAATTGATTTCAGAGAGAGGAAGAGAGAGAGAGGGAGATAGAAACATCAGTGATGAGAGAGTCATTGATTGGCTGCCTCCTGCACACCTCCTACTGGGGATCGAGCCTGCAACCCAGACATGTGCCCTGACCAGGAATCAAACCGCATCTCCTGGATTATAGGTTGATGCTCAACCACTGAGCTACACCGGCTGGGCCCCTCTCCATCTTTTTGACTCCCTGTGTCTTCCTACAGAACTCGTCATCCTTATGGAAGTCTTCAGGTGCCCCAGAGACTCTGCAGAGAGTATCAGGGATCTCCTTCCCTACAGCAGAGGGGCTGAGGGCCTGGGAAGAATGGAGGAAGGAAGCAGAGCTACGGGACCACCGGCGCATTGGGAAGGTACAGAGATTAGGGAAATGGGGGCTGATGGTAAAGGTTGGAATGAAATGAAGGAACCTTATTGTGAATTTGGGAGAAGATTCAGAATCCAACAGACTGAGCAACTCCATCATTATTTCTTCTGGGTTCCAAATCCCCCGCGTCCCCCTTGAAGTGACTACTGCCATTCCTCACCCCAGGAACAGGAGCTCTTCTTCTTCCATGAACTGAGTCCTGGGAGCTGCTTCTTCCTGCCTCGGGGAACAAGAGTGTATAATGCCCTGGTGTCTTTTATCAGGGTAAGGGGCACCCAAGTCTGGGGGAAGGAAGACCAGGGAGGGCCTAAGGGCCTAAAAGAAGCCAAGTGCTAAACATAGATACTGTAAAGTGCTGGTGATTTTTATTAAGACGCTAGGAATGTGTGGTCTACAGTGGGGGAGTGTGGTCTCCAGAGTTAATATGGTACTTAGGTTGTGCCTGTGATCGGCATGACCTGAGGACCCAAGAGAATCACATAGCTGCCACCCTCCCTTCTCCCCCAGTCACTTTGACCTTCCATGTCTGTACCCCCCTTTGCAGGCCGAGTACACCCACCGTGGTTTCTCAGAAGTAAAAACGCCCACACTGTTTTCTACAAAACTCTGGGAACTGTCAGGGCACTGGGAGCATTATCAGGAAGACATGTTTGCCCTGCAGTCCCCAGGCTCTGACAAGCCCACCAGCTCCCAGAGTGACCACTCTACCAGCCATCCCACAGACACACTCGCCCTCAAGCCCATGAACTGCCCTGCACACTGGTGAGCTGGAGCCAGAAGGCCTGGGGCCTCCCAGGGCTGAGGCTGGGCACCCAGGCTGCTAAATGTTAAGTAATATGAAGCACCTTGGAAGAGTATTGGGGCACCTGATTTGAGTCTTGAGTCTGCCCTCTAGCTAACCATGTGAATTTGAGATCATTGTACCACTCTAAGCTATGTCCTTATGTGTAACATCAAGAGTTTGGAGTTGCTGTCTGAGGTTCTGCTTCCAACTCAGTGCCTATCACAGACCAGGTGCACAGTATATGGTGTCTGTTGTTACTGAGAAATTCCCTTTGAGCCATGCAGGGCTCTGATGGCAATGAGCAGAGATTGACAGGACTCAGGGAGGGCATGCCAAGGCCAAAGAGGTCCTTAGCTGATGGTTCAGGGAAAGGAAACACACCGAATGGGCAGAGGAGCAGTCTTCAGGAGCTAGTTTTCCCTGTGGCACTGACCCCTTCCCACCCCAATCTCAGCCTGATGTTCGCCCACCGGCCCAGATCCTGGCGAGAGCTGCCCCTGCGACTGGCAGACTTTGGGGCTCTTCACAGGGCCGAGGCCTCTGGCAGTCTGGGAGGGCTGACCCGCCTACGCTGCTTCCAGCAGGACGACGCTCACATCTTCTGTGCACCGGACCAGGTGGCCCTTCCCCAGCTCCACCAGGGCATTTCTAACCACCTTCCATTCTCCCTGTGAACCACCAACAGTCCTGACCCTCAGTTGCCCTCTTTATATATTACAGTTCAGCTGTGTGCTATCCCCAACTTTCCTCTGTGTTTTTGCCCTGTGTTTACCCAAACTGCCATCACCCCAGAGTTCTAGCTAGCACACAGCTCATCCACCCTTACTTCCTCCCCCAGCTAGAAGCAGAGATCCGAGGCTGCCTTGATTTCCTCCGCTCTGTCTATGCTGTCCTTGGATTCTCCTTCCGCTTAGCACTGTCTACCCGGCCGTCTGGCTTCCTGGGAGAGCCTTGTCTTTGGGACCAAGCTGAGCAGGTAAGCAGGTAGTAGGGAATCAGAGGTGGATATACCACTCTCCAATGAAAGGGGAGACAGGTGGGAGTCAGGGTCCTCAGTAGAGATATATGCTGAGAGGGTCATTTGTGGGAGGGATATGTTGCTCATAAAGTCCTCTCTTGTCTCATTCCCTCTAAAGGTCCTTCACCAGGCCCTGGAAGAATTTGGAGAACCCTGGGATTTCAACCCTGGAGATGGTGCCTTCTATGGGCCTAAGGTAAGCTGGAGACTTTGGATAGAGTTTTATTTATTCTTTTTTTGTTGTTTTATTAAATATTTAATAGAGAAAATGAAATATTTTTTAACTTCTGTAGAATATAAAGAAAAGCAATTCAGTTCCTGCCCCCATGGGACTTATGGTCTAGTAAGGACTGTAGGATTGTAGGTGCTAAGGGAGCTTGCTACTCAGGTGGGTCAGGAAAGGCTTCCTGCAGGACTCTTTCCAGTCAGAAACATAATTGTTGGCCAAGTGAAAGGTGTTTCAGGAGGGAACAGTTTAGGCAGAGGCTGTGGGGGGAAGGGTGAAAACTCACATGGCGAGTTGGAAGAAGTGAAAGAAGTCAGGGAGAAAAAAGAACTGAAAAGTGTCTGCTGGATTTAGTAAAAAGGCTGTTAGGTTTTTTGTTTGTTTGTTTTTAAGTTACCAATGAATGTATTTGAGAAATCTAAATTACATGTAGACAGAAGAAAATTGGTTATAAAAACCATTATATTACTAAAACTTTTGCAATGTTTTAAACATTTCCAATCATGCAACAGTAATACAGATTAAAAAAATTTTAAGCTCAACAAAGAGGACTTAACATATTATACAACTGAAATACAGATGCATAATGTATCCAATTCCCTCAAATTTATACATGCATTATGAAATTGAAATGTACACTATTCCCCCAAAACGCCCCCTCCAGCCCCATTCCCAATCAATTACCTTACCTACAAACCTTTCCACATAACCTTTTAAATCAGATTTGATGGGTATATAATCTGTAGTCTCCATTATTATTTCAGAACAGACATTAAGTATAGTCATGTGTTCAGTCTTCAGTTACCTTCCTTTCAAAAGGCATCTTCACTGCTGCAGTTGTCTATGAAAATTTAAGCCTAAGAAACCAAGAAAATTGGTACTCAAGAATCTGATCTAGTAGGTAATTCTGTAAACTATAATAATACTAATAGCCTGTGTGTCCACAAACTTGTAAAAAAGGGTTTCCTATCTGAGGAATATTATTCAATGGGTCTTGGAAAGGACAGTTGTATGGCTACTGCTATCTGATGTAAAACAGCTAGGAGATCCCAGATACTTACCCAGTTGGCTAACAAGCATACAGCTGAGCCTTTTATAAATACTCAAATCCACAGAAGTAATTATGGGAATAAAATTTTGGAAGGTCATAGCATAAGACACTATAGAATTGTTCTTATAATGGCACATCCAAAATAAATCTGTTCTAACAAGGCAGCACAAAAGCAATTTAATAGCAATTTGAAATCAAATACAGTAGGAAGTGCTTTTGTTTAAATCATCAACCAGAATTCATGAATGGTAAAAAATACTGTCTCAAAATATACTGAATCCACAGATGTCAATATTACCTTAATGAACTCATGCCAGGTATAAACTCAGGTTACCAATTAGGTTGAAACAAATTTTAGAGCTGTTTTTACAGTTGTGAGAAATAAATGTACTTCATGATAAAGGCACAGCAGCATCTAAAAAAATTGATACATTTTTCACAAAATACAAATTTCCTTAAACATTAACAACCCAGAAGAGTAAAATTTTCTTGAAAACTTCTTTAAAGATTTGATTTAGCATACCAGGAAAATGTTATTTTTCCATTAAGATACATTTATGTAAATTCACACCTGGAATTAACAACCCCTAGCAGAAGTACCAGCTACTAATAATGTTTACTTATATATAACTTTGCTGGATGTTAAACTGCAACTGTTGGTGCAAGTCTGCTTGTACAGGAAATGCTGTGGATACAAGCTTTTCACAGACTGGGCAAGCAGGTTTCATTATTATATGTTCCATAGTAATCTTGAATTCATTAAACAAGGCCCAACAATATGGTTTCTTCAGGAGGAATATCAAAGAGTATACAGGGCAGGGCAAAAGTAGGTTTATAGTTGTATCCACTTTTGAATACAATAATTAATAAAGCAAGAATAAACTCTGTTTCTCAAGTAGGTTTACAGCTCAGTATGCGAAACACAGAATTTATTCTTGTATTATTTATTCATTATTGTATTCTTTTCCACACGAACAACTGTAAACCTACTTTTGCCCACCCCTGTGTTTCAATACAATCAGTGAATTTCAGTGTTCTGTTGATTAGTGCTTAATTTATTCACGCTAGACCTCAGCAGAGGTAAACTCTGAACCCTTTGCATCGAGGACCTTTTTGTCTGTGTGGCAACATGAAGCAAGGAGAATAGCAAGACTGGGAAAATATTCATTGTAACAGGATAGGAGCTGACAAAGATGAGCGAATACAAGAGGCAGTGGCAGCTGTCCTCTAACAAAGCTTGGGCCAGGAACGTTCTGCTTAACTGGAAGTGCGATGATCTTTGGTGCAGCCTCAGATCTCTGGTAAGAGCATTTGCCAGCAAAGCACGTTGCTAAAAACTTGCTGCTTCATGCAACCCAAGAAGAGGCAGAGCAAACAGGGCAGAGCAGGAAACTGAACGAGCAAGAAAGCCACATTGCCAGGTCCAGTTTATTGGTCATCATGAATTGCACTGCACCTGCCCCTTGGGGATGCTGTCCGGCACCGATAAGAGCAAAGCTGGGTTTCTAGAAAGACTAGAGTGAAGGCGGAGCTCAAGGCTGTTAGGTTTTGCAGGACCATTTTTGGTAAAGTGGAGAGTGGGGGTGGAGTCAGAAGTGAGTGAATGAACATAACTCTTTCAAGAACTTTGGCTTTTACAGAGGCAAAAGAGAGTTACTAAGGGCCTGAGTAGTCAAAAAAAGATGTTTATGAAGGGAGAGACTTGAAAATGTTTAAGTGCTTTAAGGAGAGTATGCCTGTTTGGGTCAGAGAGAAGTTGAAGTTGTCGAAGGGGTTTCAGTAGGAGAAGTTCCTGAGAAGACTAGAAGGGTGGTTTTGAGAGCCCTTCACGGAAGGGACAACCTTTGCCATTGTTTTGGGAGCATAAAGAAAGGCTGGAGGTGCATGCAAGGAAGTTTATAGGTATGGTGACAGAAGTTGAGACATTTCCCCATCTCACGATATTATCTGAATTTTCCGTGAAATAGGGAAAAGGATCATTGGGTGAGATGGGAATGGGGGAGAGGAGACTTGTCAGTGAGGGTAGTGAAACTATGAAGAGAGAGGAGAAAGCTTGAAAATCCTTGAGGAGAACAGGACACAGAGCTGATTAAAGCAGCGAAAGAATTAAGGGCAGCAGCAAGAGTCCAGCTGAGGTGCGAAACAAGGACTTGCATGGTGGCATCAGTCTATTTTTGCATCTGTGTGGCCTGTGCCATGTTGGGCCACACTGAGCAGTTCTGTTACAGTGCCGAGGAGGTGGGAGGGGAGGGTGCCACCAGGGTGGGGTTTACCATGTGGGCATGACAGAGGAACAATGATACAGGGAACCTGGGAAAGTGGTTACAGCTGCATAGGGAAGAATCAAAGGCGGGAGGGGCCTGTGAATGGGAAGAGAAAGGTATTAAGAACCTACACACTGAAGAGCTATTCATAGGAATAACTCAGTGCTAGAGAACCAAGAGATGGTAAGCAAAGCAGGGTGGACTGTTTCAGAGGTACAGCCATTCTGGGCAATGACAGGATAGCTATAGCGTGGGTGTGGGTGAAGGTCTCTAAGATGAGCTCAAGGAATTGAGAGGCCAGGGTATGGATGGGTCATTCATGTGCCTGTTGATGTCCCCTAATATTATGGTACCATTATTAAGTGGGAAGAGCCACTGAGAGTCACTGGCAGCGTCCCCACTGAATGAAGTAGAGTATGATACAGCTGGGGGACATGTCTCTCAGAGCAGCCTGGGACATGGGTAGGTAGAAAGGCGGGCGGCACAGGTAATGGAGGATACTGGTTCTGGTTTCTCTCACACCCTCCCATCTGTCCCCTCCAGATTGACGTGCACCTCCATGATGCCCTAGGTCGGCTCCATCAGTGTGGGACAATCCAGCTTGACTTCCAGCTGCCCCTGAGATTTGACCTGCAGTACAAGGGGTACAGAACCTTGCCAGCCCCTTTTCCCTTGGCTGTCCATGGAATAGGTGGAGATCAACTTCTTCTACCTTTGACTCTAAAAATAACCGAATCCTCCACACCCTCCCCTGCTGGGCCCGAATACTGAGGACTGGAGGGTGAGCTTGATTACACAGTTGGTGCCGCTTCCTCGTTCCACCCACCTCCCTTTTCCCCCAAGGCAGGCCGGGGCCGTGGAGCGTCCAGTCCTCATTCACCGAGCGGTCCTGGGTTCTGTGGAAAGGATGTTGGGAGTGCTGGCAGAGAGCTGTGGGGGAAAATGGTGAGACCCCTGGCTCCAGGCTTTGGTTCTGACCCTCAAATCAGATAGTACATGCCCCAGATCCTGGCTCCCTTCAGACTCCAGCTTCCATTTCTTTCTCCAGTCTGCTCGCTGCAGCCACACTCATAGTCAGAGCCAGAATAAGTAAGTAATTTGCCCTCCCCTGTTCTCTCCCAACTAGGCCGCTGTGGCTGTCCCCATTCCAGGTGATGGTCATCCCTGTGGGGACTGAGCAGGAGGACTATGCCAGGGAGGTGAGGAGTTGGGGGTTAAGACAGGGCCAAAGCAAGACTAATAGGGGACATGAGCAGTGCATAGGAAGAGACCACCAGGGCAGGGGAGGGGCACGGCACTTGGAACCACAAGACTGGGCTCCAATGGCTGCTGGCCTGTATGCTGGAAACTCCACATCTGAGGAATGAAACGGATCCCTGCCTGGTGGAGATGTATGAAAATTAAACAAACCAACATACATGAAATGCTGACAACAGAGCACTTGGCACAAAAGGGGGTTGGATAAATGCTGGTTTTCTTTTTCCTTTCTAGAGAGAAACAAGGATATGGGCTGTCTCAGAGCCAAGCAGCTGGTTGGGTAGAGTGGTGGCTAGAGGCAAGCAGTCCAGGGAATCGCTGGCAGGCTGGGCTCCATAGGAGGCAGACAGAGGAGCTGCAGGGGGCTAGGGCAGGGCCTCAGTGTGGAGACAGTGAGGAGGAGATGTCTGTGAGAACCACAGAGCCTTGAGGCAGGGGAAGGAGGAAAGGGGG